GGAGAAGAGTGTAGTCTCGCGAGAACCAAGTTTTGTTTACAGCACAGGGAAACCACGTGAACTACATCTGTAGTTTTTGCCGCCGCTGCAGCCTCCTCCATCTCGTGGAGTTCCTGTTCGGTTTACTCCGGTTCAAACAAATATGGCTGGGCAAAAAACTCATTCTCTTCTTGCCTTATATCGAAATCCTCCGACATTTTTACTCAGAATCTTAGTTTTTGTAGTACTAGTTCGTGACAGGTGTTTTGTTTTGCTTTCTCCTCTGTGCTTCTGCGTTCGTTACTCTCTCCCCAGAGCTTAAGTTGCGCCTTCTACTACACCTACGTCATGCGCTCAAAGGCACGCCTTGTCGTGAACGCGCCTGCTTCAGCGACCGGAAGCTGGAGATTACAGTCTATACATTTTTAAAAATCTATATTTTTCTTACACTAACACATCGTTTCGCTTCAGAGGGCCTTTATTAACACCCCAGAGCACGTGGAGTAGTTTTATGATGGATGGATGGATGCACTTTTTTTGGGCTTCAAAAACGGGCACCATTCACTGCCATTATACAGCTTGGAAGAGCCAGGACAATTTTAAATATAACTGCGATTGTGTTTGTCTGAAACATTCCTCTTTCAGACGAACACAATCGCGGTTATGTTTAAAATGGTCCTGGCTCTTCCAAGCTGTATAATGGCAGTGAATGGTGCCCCTGTTTTTGAAGCCTAAAAAACTGCATCCATCCATCATAAAACTAATCCACATGGCTCCGGGGTGTTAATAAAGGCCTTCTGAAGTGAAACGATGCATTAGTGTAAGAAAAATATAGATTTTTAAAATTTATATACTGTAATCTCCAGCTTCCGGTCGCTCAAGCAGGCGCATTCATGACAAGGCCTTCGAGCGTATGACGTAGACGTAGCGGAAGGCGCAACGTAAGCTCTAGGGAGAAGAGTGTAGTCTCGCGAGAATAAGCTCCGGGAAGAAGAGTGTAGTCTCGCAAGAACCAAGTTTTGTTTACAGCACAGGGAAACCACATGAACTACATCTGTAGTTTGTGCCGCCGCTGCAGCCTCCTCCATCTCGCATTTCTGGTCGGTATACTCGAGTTCAAACAAATATGGCTGGGCAAAAAAACTCATTCTCCTCTTGCCTTATATCGAAATCCTCCGTCATTTTTCACTCAGAATCTTCGTTTTGTAGTACTAGTTCGTGACAGGTGTTTTGTTTTGCTTTCTCCTCTGTGCTTCTGCGTTCGTTACTCTCTCCCCAGAGCTTAAGTTGCGCCTTCTACTACACCTACGTCATGCGCTCAAAGGAACGCC